AGTCTGCTGGTGTCAGAATGGCAACCGCAAACTGTGGACTGAGGCCGAGGGCACCCGGACTGGGGCACGCTTGCGGCTTGTCAGAATGATACCCGCACAGCGGCTGCTCTCAGGGCGCTTGCTGGGCTGACCCAGCTTCCACCAGTGTGGCAAACAGGCTTACACTGTCCTTGCTGTATTATGTATACCATAACCGTCAGCCAAGCGATCTGCAGGCCAGATATGCAAGCGCCATCTATGAAGCGAGCTGTGCACATAAAACATGAAAATAGAAAGATGTAAAAGCGCGTCACCCTGCCAACTCACCTCAGTCAATGCCGCCAAGGACGTGTGTGATAAAACTTGAGACCCTCCACGTCCTGGCATGATTACGCCATGGAAATATAAACTTACTTCAGCAAATTCGTGCAAATATAAGTCAATGGATGCAAGTCCGAAGTCAGTGGATGTATAGGATGCTCGTCAAAAGTCGTTGGGTGAGCCATACCTGTCAAAAAGTGACCGAACCATAGTCTCACATGTGCTTCATGCAATTTCTCAGTTAGTATCCATTTCTATGCAGCTCCCCTCAATGCCACTTGCAGACAAATATGGGGATGGGGGGGGGGGGATTGGAACCAAGTCGCGATCAGGTCTGACAGTCACATGATGATGTCACCATGAGTATGCCCCAGGACATTTACGCTTTGAAGACATCCCAATACAGGGTTGTCAATACTCATTTTCACTGCTAAGCCGTTCTTTCCCAAAGTGCGTGTCAAGACGTTTGTTAGCACGTCTCCTAGTCATACCCGGGGATAACACAATGGAGGCGCTTAGTGTTTACAGTGAACTCTGGGATGGGTCGAGGCAGGCGGGCACGCGACACCGACATTTAACTTAGCATCTGCCTCCTCGGCACAACAGCGGAGAGGAAACCCGTAAAACCGGGCAGTTTAGGTTATGTAAGACCCCGGAGCCAGTTGATTGGTCACGCGCACGAGCTAGAAGATGCCTTCATCGCACTTTACGTTTTGTCTTTAGTAGCCAACGACGTGTGGCGAATGCCGAGACATTGTAAACAAAAGAGGCTAGGAAATGCAAGCCAAAGATGTAACAACACACAGAAGTCAAAATACACACAAAGGCGCTCAGCGTTCAAATTATCGCGGCAGTACCGCCATCTTGCAGCGCGTAGGAGCACAAGTAAGTGCCGGCGACTACCGGTGGCTACTGTCGCACGGGTTCGCTGCCCGCAACAACAGCTGCGGCTGGTCACGTGTTCCAGCACGAGCCCGTCATATTGCGTCCCATACAGCGCCTGTTCCTAACATGTGATGAGATAACCCGTCATCGAGATTCGATGATTCATTACTCGGGATGTCGCCGACTGCTTCGGACTTGCGGTCCCGTCCAGACACGGGTTACGTGAAACCGAACGGACGTATACACAAACGGCCCACTCGATGAAAGGAAAGTGTTCCAGTGCACAGCCAATCAGAAGATGACAGCAGTTTCAATCAACTTTAAGGGAGGCATTACAAGTTTGCTCGCCAGATGGGCTGGAAAGACTGATGCAATCTGGTTTCACATGACTGAGCAATCTGATTTCAGGCGATCTTCACTAAGCTCATCTGAGCGATGCCTCCATCATTTTTGAGCATATGTATTGGCCAGAATCTAACACTTTCTGTCAGCTGTATGCATCCAGATGCTATTTTTGGACTACTCTTTCCATGGAATGCCACAGACATACCTAACATAGATTCCAAAAATGGGCCAATGCAGCTACATCACCAAATTCACAGTTAAGGCTATGCTCATGTAGATTGCCAAATAAAGGTCAACAATGACAGCTGGGCTTTTCAGCATCAGTGATGCTGGCAAGACATTGGTTTCCTTTCAGCTTAAAAAGATAAACTCTCCATTTCTGGTTACTTTTTCCAGCCAATATCCAAGGAAACAATGCAACATTTTAGATAGTTAAAAGATCAGCTCCCTGCTTTAACTCCCATTCAATTTGCATGCACTGCCCTTCAGAAGCCCACAAATAAGGAGCATTGCACATCAATCTGTACAAATTTGTTGGATGCACATATGTTGATGACCTTAATCTCAAAGAACTCCATGAAACTGGCTGAGGTGTTAAAAAATGTTAGCTACATGCTTGTAAATACAAATTCAAGAGTCGAGCTGCAGGCTTCTGTAGGATTTATTTGACATCTCCTCATTGGTTGTACATGGGCTTCATATTTGGGGTGTGTGGAGCAGGACACCATTTTTCAAAGAGCAACAAAATGAGAGAAAGTGACAGTTCTAGTTGGCAGCAGGGTCAGCTGGTCTCACAGTGCCAAACAGGATTAAGGGGCTAGGTAAGTGACCCATTCATCACACAATACTGATAGCTGCAGCTGGCTAATTACCAACAGTGTGAGGGTTTGCCTGGGTGACAAACCACAGGCTAATAGCATGCTGCTTACAACCAGAACTCCCAGGCAGCAGAGCAGAAGCAGACTGGTTTGTAACTAGAACTTCTGCTATCCAAAAGGTGGAGGGAGTAAGAGAGGGCCTCTCACACTCTTCCAACTTGGGTTTCAGCCCCAAAACCCCAAATGCGGCTCCAGCTCTGGGCTCTACCCGACTTTAAGAATGAAATGGCCTTTTGCAGTAGAGAACCCTGATTTTGTTTTTTTTTAGGGGTAAAACTTTTGTTAGGAATCACTGCTCAGTCCTTTACCCCACCCATGTAGTGAAACTACATCTCTGGTTACAGAAAACAGAGCAAAAAGCACTTTAGGGTGCACTTAAATATCATCATAGAACTAAATGTCCTACCTAGACTATAATCCTATGCAGCTGGTCAAAATTGCTAAAACCCACACCATATCTACCAAACAAGCTTCCTACCAGCCACCAGACCAATGCAATTTTTGGACAGAATTGATAATTCCATGTATGCCAAAATGCTTGTAGTTACAAAACTACAACACTCACTAAAATATGAGACCCCACTGCCCCATCATCAGATCACCAGCCTCTTGTCCCAAACAGAAGCAATGCGGTCGCACCATTTGGGCGTAGAATCAGAACCGAGATACGAGCCTGCGTCAACATAGGTCGAAGGTACAATAAATCGTGTCGTTTCTGCCCCACTCAGTCGTCGTCAGAATACCAGGTAGCAACTGTAGTCACTTGCAAGTACCAACGCACGGGTGATCGCCACCCCCCGACCGCAAATCCACAACCCTTCGAGTCATTCACACACTTATCAAATCACAGTTATCAATCCCACAGAATAGTGCACAAATCCGTACAACTCATCCGCTGCGGCGCACCGTTACTTCCAACGCCCCGTTATCAGTGATTGCAGCGGCTGTTACCAGCACTCACTTCGCCTCTCGGCCAAGTACGGAATGGGCTTGGGCCATGACGTCACAGGTAAGTCGGTAGCTACGTCATCCATCGGCTGCGGTTACTTGAAGTAAGGAATGGGCTTCCGTTTGGTCATCAAGAACGGGGCTCAGGGCTATAAAACACTGTTGTTTTAGGCACAAAGCTGCGCACGTTATACGATCGGTAAAATTCGTCGCAACCCCAATGCCCTTTAACAACTGCCTTTACCCGGTACAGATTGCTCGCTTTTGTTTATTTGGGTGCTCGCAATACATTTGTCATGTTCCGGATGACATGTTTTTACCTGGGCAGTGGGTGTCCATACTCTGCTATGCCGAGACCCCTGCCTAACAATAAATCGCTGAAGCTTAATGTTGGGTGGTGTCTACCTGGAGAGCACGGTATTATACCGAGGGCATCACTATTCCGTAAACAATTGGGCGTCGGGGTTTCAGCCACCAAGTGTTGGATAATTAATGCCTGATTCAGGGATAAGCACATTTCTGAAGTCTCAGAGTTCGGTTCATCCATGTTGCCCTCTGCTTAATGGCCCTCCCTCAAATATTAAAAACACATTTTGGTCAAGTAATGCCATGCCTTCTTGCTATCAGAGTTGTCCCAAATTTACCCTATCAGTGATGGTCATATGACTGTACTAAAAACCTAGATCTCATGTACCTATATGTTTTCATGCAATCACAAGTGAGATGTATATATCATTTGTATCAGTTAGTTGCCATTAAGCCAGCTTTGATCCATTCTTAAAACATCCAAGCAAGCTTGCTTCCTCCACCATGTTAATAGGATATTTTGATCTGCAAACAATCCCTGGAATAATATGCTTTGGAGGATAAAGCATGCTACATTGTGTACCAGGTGACTTCTGTACATCCTGTCCCTCTCCCCATGGCGCATGAACTGAAACATGGAACTTTAAATGACACCCAGTCTGAAAAACCATCACACCCTGAAAAGACTGGATGTTTTAAGATTGGATGTGCACTGATCACCACTGGTGGATATGGCAGGCCCATTGTGGGTTCGCTCTTGCAAAGCTTTTTCAGAGTCTGCATCATAGTGAGGAATTCTGGATGTGCCAGTGCTGATTTGCTGGTTTGGCTGCAGAATATTGGGGAACATGACATCAGCACTTCACCTCATGCATGGGCGCCTACATACCAACATCTTCAGAGATGAAGCTCGCCAGAAGTTTATCACACTTTTGGAGAAGGGCACGGGTACCAAGGTAACCACAGGCGTGTTGTCAAAATCATGCATCATAAGGTTGGATGGCAATATTTTGTTCTGATCAGCTCCTCATAAGCTTCTGTTTTTGTTCCCCACCTGATGTTTTTGTGTTTTTCCAGACATATGTGTATCTGTGTTTATCATATCTATTTTTCAGTGCCTGGTCACAGCTTCATATTATCACAAATAACCGAGGTAGTTGACACTGCCTAAAACCACAGCCTTGTTCAGTATTTTGTGATGCTGCCTGGAGTATTGTATTACACTTTATTGTGGCCATAAGAAGTGAATGGTGTGAGGTATTACATGTTTTGGAAGTTTGATGCCCAGTGCTATTCAGGGTAGTCAACTGGCCTACACTTTTCATAACACTAGCTGCTGTTGTTCAGTAGCATCACATTTGCCACATTTTTGTAAGTCATTAGTGGGTGCATTGTGTAAAGTGGTAGTGATACACATTCTGGCATGCTCATATGCATGCCCTTCAGTGATGAGCTCTGTTTGGAGCAGTGTGCAGCATGTCACATCCTTGCATTCACCCAGCTGGCACTTGATGACCCCTGCTTGTCCTTGGTAGGCGATCGTCTGGGATGAGCGGCTGACAGGCCCATTCGGCCTGGTGGCCGAGTACTCGTTCTTGCGCGAGCAGGACGTGATCAAGATGTTCCCGCTGCGGCCGGGCCGGCTACCGCCCAGCGACGTGGACAGCATATTCTTCCTGGTGCGGCCCGAGCTCGCCCTCATGGACATGGTGGCCGAGAACGTACAGAGGTCAGTGCACCCACCCGTACCCCCACCGCTGCTGCATGTCCAGTGACACCGCCATCTGCTCAACGAGCGCTCACGCTATTGGGCGCCCGGCCAGTTGGGAAGACGTAACTGCTTTTGTGTCACGAGTATACTGTCCATTTGACGGCTTCGGATATTTGCACGGAGCGTTCGGCGTGATCGTTGAGGGCTCCCAGAAAATGCGGCCATATCTTGTGGAATCTAATTTTGGACAAGGTGAGTTCCTTCCTTTGTGACATGTGTAATCAATGTAAATTCGGACCGTGGTTACGTCTCCCGTAGTTTTACCAGCAGTGCGTGCCACCTTTTGCGAAATGAGCGTTCATTTTCTTGCAAGATGATCGTCCACTTAATGCCGTACTGCTGTTCACTTAGAGTACTGGAAACAGCCAATAAAATACACTGGTAATGAAGGGAGTGGCCGCTATATTCGTGTGCGCGTCCTGCTTCCAACTTACGACCGAACCGCTGCCACCCTGGCCGTACCGGCGCCTGTCGCCTCTGGCCCAGGGAGGAGGAGCAGGGCGGGCGCCGCAAAAAGTTCCTCCTCTGCTTCGTGCCGAGCGGCAGTCGCGCCTGCGAGCGCGTGCTGGAGGACCGGCGCGTGCTGGGCACGTTCGCCGAGCTGACGTATCTGGATGTGCGCCTGCTGCCGCTTGACGCCGACCTGCTCTCGATGGAGTACCCGGACGGCTTCAAGGTATGGCTGGCGTGGAGCGGCCGGGTCGGCTGCATTGAGCAGGATTGGACCAGTACGACGTGCAGGGTCGGCTAATCCGGCGTACAGGTCGCCTGTGGCATTTGGCTCCGGCTTCATTGAGAGGTCGGCTCATTTGCTCCCTGTGCTGTGTGGTATGGGTGGTAATTGTCAAACCTGTGTCGCGTTTTTCTGCGTCTAGAGACGAAAGCGCCTGTGTTGCACACATTTCTGTTCGTGTCCACCATTATTTTCCATATACAAGAAACGCTACGATCAGTCCCTCGGGAACACACTGCGTAACATGTACTGATGGATAATTTGTTTTCTGACAGGAGTACACGCTAGAGAATGACCCGAGCTGCCTGTTCGAGGCTGCGCAGGCGCTGCTGGACATTCAGCTCAAGTTCGGCATCATCCCCTCCATCTGCGGCAAGGGAACTGCCGCTAGAAAGGTGCGGTGCACGGGTTCTTTACCGAATGGTCATAGTGTGACTTGTGATAGTATAACTAGGAGCATTGTATCCTTTAACGGCAGCATTGCCCATTTTAGGTGGTGAGGGGACTATCGTCAGCGTTTTGACTTCGCGACACGTTGAAAACGGCACCCAACCCCTAAGAATGTGACATGATGTCAAGCACGTGTATGTCACGTGTTTTAAATGCGGGCAATTATTGACAAGCCAGCAGATATAGCAGCTGTTCAGGACTAATGTAGTGCATCCTCAATAACTAAGAAAAAGTCATGCCGCACATGAGATAGCTCTCTTACTCAAATGCAATTTGGATCCTGTTGCGAGTACCCTGAGCCCATTATCCAAGTTGTGCTGAGTCAATTTAACTGATATGATTGGTTGTCGGGGATGTTTGTCAGCCAACCGCGGGAAGTTTAGTGAGAACCGCAGCAAGATGTGTGTACCTTGAAATACTTAATTCGACACGGCGACTTTGTTAAGTCTGGCCCTTCATAACCTGCCGCCAGCTGAGCTTTTCACGATTGAGCAGTGCCGGGCAGTTGCCCTTCGGGAACACGTACCCTTGTCAATTGAAAGTCAGTTGGATTCGAAGCCCAACATCTTTCCCCCGACTGCAGAGAGGGTGATGACAAATATATTGCTGTTCACAGACCTACCGGCAACTTTCGTCGTGGCATCTGCTGGTAGTTTTCGTCCCGACATCTGCAGGTAGCCTTCGCAGTGTAAATTCATCTGCCTGCCGCCAGGTGTACAACTACATGCTGAACCTGCGGCGCGAGCGACCGGACTCGGAGTTCCCGGCCGTGTGTGAGATCGACACTCTGCTGCTGATTGACCGCGAGGTCGACCTCATCACGCCCATGGCCACCCAGCTCACCTACGAGGGCCTGATCGACGAGATTTTCGGCATCAACAACAGTAGGTGCCAGACGCTGCACAGGCGTGACGCACGGCGCGGGCACCACACAGTCATGTGGCGCCAGTAAGCCGGGCCATCATGTGGGGAGTAAATGGGGACTGATGCGTGTTAACCGCTGTGTTTCTTGTTCCAAAAATAAGACCTACAACCTTGTTTCAGTTCGATGCAATGTCACTGAGGTCTGCTATTTTGAATGTTTTAACTTGTTGTTGACAGCCCACATAGATGAAGAACATTATTAAGCTGCTTCACGAGCAGGAAATAAAAGGGAGTTTCCTACATTTGTATCGAGTTTTGAACTAAAATACCCAAGTTTGAAGATTATTTGATGCAGCTCAAAGCCTTCCCCTTCCTAATATCTAAATCCGTGTAATTTATGAGCTATACGCCCGTGAAGATGTGCAGACTATTTCGAGAAGACTATTTCAAGATGACCCAGACATTCATGACGCCATAGTAACGTCGTTTGAATCCTGTCATTCCCTTGGCCATGCGGCCATCAAGGCCAAAAAATTGTCGAGTCGTTAATATCTGGCGTCCGTGGGCACGATTTCCAGCCGTAACGGCGGTGGACTGGCTATCAACCAATGTCTGCAATTTGCGATGTCATAATCAAACAATGGCGTATTGGGGGGCATATTTGCTAAACAGAGGAAATTGTGTTGTTTAGAGTAGTCTTTTTCACTTAAAAGTATGCCAATACTTATAAGTGAGCGTATTTGATCACATATGATGCTTGCTTCAATGTCTTTAAGTGTGGAACATTTTCCGTTAACAGGTACTCGATATTTCGACCACCGTCTGTTCATGTCATTGATAGATACCGGGCGCTTAGAGTATGAAGCTCTGCCATGATCGCCATAAACAGGCGGCGGATCATATGTCGGCCGTCTGAGCGGAACCTGCTCCGGAGCTATGCTGGTAGTACTGTGCCATCCGTCACATGACAATCGTCCATTCATGTATCTGCGGCGTAAGGTAATCTCTAGCACCGGATAACAATTCAAAGATTCGCAACCCAGTGCAGATTGGATAGAACAGCGGTGATGAGAGCGAAAGGCAAAGCATGCACAGTTGACGTTTCCTGACTGGTGAGTCCTAGTAAGCCGCGTGGGTCGCCAGCTGGGCCGATGTAAGCCGTGCCGGAGTCGCACGCCGGCCCAGATGTAAGTCCACGTAAGCGGGACCAGCGGCCGCCGGCAAGGCAGCGGCGTCTGTTCCGACGTTGTGTACGGGCGGGTGAGCAGGTCGCCGTTGTAGCCTGGCGGGGGACATCAGCCACACCAGGCTCCGTGCTCCGCGGTAGTCATGGGTGACCTTTCGGGTTCGAATTGGGCTGCAGAATTGCGGGGGTTTAAGCTACCAAAGCATCGTTTGGGCAATTCACTACAGTCACAACGCCATCTGATTCATAAAGTGTTTTTCTTTTTAGACTGAAGGTTCTTTGTCACGCTGCGGAAATTCTGCAAGATTAGAACAAGACCCGATGGTGGGCGCGAGCCATCTGACTGTGCTATCATTTTGGCGGTGGCATAGGCTTAAACGCCGGGGCCGGTAAGGATGTGCAAAAGTGGTCATGATTCTTTTGCTCGGAATTTGTTCTTTTTGGAAAAAAGCAGCTTACTGAGATTATAATTTTTTTCTCGCTTTAGTCCAAATATGGTTGGAAATGTTTTAGGAGGTTCATTTAAAAGACAAAACAAAACATGTTCAGCTTCTTAACAGAGATGCTTGCAATCAGACATTGCGCGAGGTACGAGTGGGCAATAACCGGGAAGCCGCAAGGGTTTTGTGACAGATAAGGGCCGAGAGAACCGCTAGGGGCTTGTGACGGATAAGGGCCGTGAGAGCCACTAGGAGCTTGTGACAGATAAGGGCCGTGAGACCTGCTTGGGGCGTGTGACAGATAAGGGCCGAGAGAGCCGCTAGGGGCTTGTAACAGATGAGGGCCGAAAAAGTAGCTAGGGGCTTTTAACATACGAGCTGAGAAAGCGGCTAGGGGCTTGTGACACATAAGGGCCGAGAAAGCAGCTAGGGGCTTGAGACACATAAGGACCGAGAAAGCAGCTAGGGGCTTGTGACGGATAAGGGCCGAGAAAGCAGCTAGGGGCTTGTGGTAGATAAGGGCCGAGAGAGCCGCTAGGGGCTTGTAACAGATGAGTGCCAAGAAAGCAGCTAGGGACTTGTGGTAAATAAGGGCCGAGAGAGCCGCTAGGGGCTTGTGACAGATGACGACCGAGAGAACCGCTAGGGGCTTGTAACAGATGAGGGCCGAGAAAGGTAGCTAGGGGCTTGTGGTAGATAAGGGCCGAGAGAGCCGCTAGGGGCTTGTGACATTAGGGCCGAGAAAGCAGCTAGGGGCTTGTGGTAGATAAGGGCCGAGAGAGCCGCTAGGGGCTTGTGACATTAGGGCCGAGAAAGCAGCTAGGGCTTGTGGTAGATAAGGGCCGAGAGAGCCGCCGGAGGCTTGTGACATTAGGGCCGAGAGAGCCGCCAGGGGCTTGCAATAGATAGGGTAGACCGAGGAGTACGCAAAAACATTTGCAGAAAAGTGTAGAAAGATGCACATTTCGGGACAGGCTCCAAAGGAAAGCAACTCCAGTAATCTGTACGTAAGCCAGGATGCGGTAGGTATTCCAAAATTTAACGGAGAAGGGCGGAAGGTCGCGCTAATTATGGTCGTTAGACGTTGGCCGTGAGAGAAAAAGAGGAAAGGAGAGGGAGTTCGAGGCGGTAATGCTGGTAAACCCTCCAGCCTATCGCGGGAATAAGAGACGTCTGATGGATTAGAGACATGAAGGATTAAAGTCTATGAAGTAGATCTTTGCGATTTAGTGGCGAGCTTGACCAGTCCATAACACCAAAGCAAGTACTCAGGCCGATGAGATGTGGTAAGGACATATTGGCCCAGTTCATAGGCTTCAATGCTATGTCAGATGTTGCTACACACGATTTTGTTGGAGTGGTTCGGTCTACAGTGGTATTGAAAACAAGCAGGAACAGGGCTCCATCGAAGGTCAAAATAGAGTTGACGCTGTACAATTCGAACGAGAGTTCCAGCAGTGGAGGGATAATTGAAGACATGGTGCAATGGTCCAGAAAAGGGCTGACGGTAGCGCGTCTTCATGTGTTTGTGACTCACTTCGCAGTAAGGCAGGCATTGTGATGCGCGGCAGATGCCGGGTTGATCGAATTCGAGTTCCGGCATCATTACGCGCCGACCATCTGCGCCGCGAACCGCAGTCACGCAGGCTGATTCATTTACGCTTCCGCTTGTCTTGCAGGCGTTGCGTATTAACTGCGCCCCCGGGCAGAGGTCCATGGCGTCACTCGTGCGTAGGCGGAAAGCTCGTCTGGTGCTGGTGACGCATTTCCGTTAACGGTCCGACTTTCGAGTAATTACCTCGTGTTATCGTAATTTATTGAGCTGAACCCGGCTGCCCCACAGCATGGCCCGGTGGCGCGCGGAGCGCGGCGGTGCCTGTCCGGATGGGCCGGGCGTGACTCGGACCGCCCGCTGAGGCGCGAGGGGGGGGGGGGCGCCGTACAGCGGGCGTTACACAAAGTGAATGTACACGCATAATACACCGCTGCTGCAAGGCGGTATATGTCAACTGGGCTGGGGTGATAGTAAGGATTTGATTGTCTCCCGTGATACGATGGTCGCATTGGCAGTGGAGCGCAGTCTTCCTAATTTGTCCACTTCATACTCAGGCGATTCTGGGGCGCGCATCACGCAGCGTGAAACGCGATCCCGGGGTGTGGGCTATACTGGAGCAGCACTTCCGTACGCATTTGTTGGCAAACATTGCGAAGGCTAGAGGAGCGCGTGGCGCTTGGGCGCCGCCCAGCTTATGCGAGGATCTGGAGTGGTGTCCACTCGCTGAGTGAGGGCGAAGGCTGCGTCGCCGGCGCGCTGAGGAACTCGCCCAGCGTGCGCGGCTCAGCCGCCGGACCTGCAACCGTACCAGACTTCGGCAGCGGCGGGTCCGGCGCCGCCGGGCCGCCGGGCCCGCCGGCGCGCCCCCGCCGGGCGCGGAACTGCGTCTGCGGTGGGGTCGCCTCGGGCGACTCGGCTCGGCTGCCGCGTTCGGCCACCGCCGCCGCCGCCAGCAGTGGCAGCGGCGGCGCGTCCTGGCGGCGCGCGCCTCCGCCGTCGCCGTCCGCTGGTCGGATCGTCATCGTCCAGGCGCCGTCGACGGGCGCGGTGTGGGCGGTGACCGTCCAGGACTGGTCGGTCACCGCCCCGGAGTGCGCCGTCACCGTCCAGGAGGCGTCGGCCGGGGCAGGTGCCGCCGACGCGGAGGCGGCCGCGGCTCGGCCAGGGCGCACCGAGTGGCCCACGGACTGCCGACCCCAGCTGCGGCCACCGCCGGCGCCGATGGAGGACGTCTCCAGACTTCTGCCGGCGAGCGCCGAGCGGGGGGACTTGGTCCAGCTGTCGACGGGGATCGAATTGTCGGCCAACACCCAGGGGGTAACGCTCGGCCCGGCCGCGACGGGCAGCTTCCAGGACCCACCCGCCGGGGCGGTGTACGGCGGCACCCACGTGTCACCGGTCGGTACCGTGTTGGAGGCCGGCGTCCAGTGGTGCTCTGACGGCGCCTCGCCGGCCGGTCTGCGGCGGGTGCCGCCGTGAGGCGCCGTCGCCTCCCACTGCCTGCGCCCGTCATCGCCCGCCGCCACCCCCGACGAAGGGTCGGATGGGAGCCGGGGCGGCTGCGGTCGGCCCACGCGCAACGGCAGAGAGCCGGCGCCGTCACGCCAGTCCCGAGGCAGCCCGCTGGCGTTGCCGCCGGCGCCGCCGCCAGCGCTGCCGCCGCCCGCTCGTGGGCCGCCGCCGCCGCCGCCGCCAGTGCTGTCGCGCCTCCCTGCGCCTGCTGCCCCAACACTGCCGCCGCTGCCGCTGCTGTCGGGTCTTCCTCCTGCACCTGCTGCCCCGGCGCTGCCACCGGCACCGCCGGTGCGCCGGCCAAACTCGACCGAAGTCACCTCGCGC